AGGACGTTCAAGAGTAGTCTAAATCACCCTCTATAATCTAAGAACCCTCACATGAACCAAATATCTCCTATGTATCCCTGCCATCCCAACATTCGTTTTTATAGCTTATAGTCTTGTTTTATTTTCCCATTGCATTCTTTACAATTTTCGTGAAACAAAAACCCTACAAAAACCCCATTGATCTATTAATCCATTTAAAGTTTTTGTAGAAAAGAAAATTCTCTTTATGGATCGACACCCTAAGTACTACATAGCATTGTTGTGCACTTGCAGATACTAGGGTTTCAAAAACCTCTCCTGAGATATCAACCCTACTAGCATCACATGTTTGGCACCATTGCCGGGGAGAGATTAGTTCTTCCTTCTACCAAACTTCATAGGTAGTAACACCGATTCTTAGACACCTTTTTTCATTTTTTTTTTCTTGGTTTCAAGTTTCTGAAACATGTATTTTCCTTTAGAACAAGATGAAATCATTGGGTGGGGTGTTATAACTTGTGTGCTGCTCAATACTCTCATGATTCACACACCTACCGCGAATCAAACTATATGGATCAGAACTTCCACCTGATCACTACCAAGATGAAGTCTATTTGCCCCTTATGGTGAATCATCGACCATATCACCCACTTCCTCATCAAATTCTGAACCAGAATGGTGAGATCTATCAATTAAGTCTCCAGCTTAATCAAGATTTGAAGCTATGCTAAACCAGTTGCTTGAATTTCGAGCTGATACTGATGTTGCCTTGCATATGAAGATTAAATACATCTCCATTGACCTAAACAAGATCGTTTGATGATCTCTCTGAGCATGTGAGGTCCCTAGAAGAGCTGAATCTTAAAGATGCTGCAACACTAAGAAGGGATGGAAGGCTGTTGAAGAAGACTAAGGAATATATGTTCATGATTCTCTTTGTGATACCAGATCTGATGTGAATCAAATTCCAAAGCCCACTGCAGAGGGAATAGGTATTCAAAATTTCATCCATCTATTTTTTATATTCACTCTTTGGAGATTTTTCTTGTGCAGCTCCATTAGGTTTCATATCCAATTTGCCTTTTCATGCGGGAAACTGTCTTGTTCCTTATGATTTCCACGTTGTGGAGATGAGAAAATATGCAAAGAGACCTTGATCCTTGGAATTTCTACAAGGAAATCTCATTTTATGACCATATACAATGGATATAAACTAGTTTTTTACTCTGGAGGAGCTACAAAGGATGTTCAAAACGTCCCACAAGAAGGTCCACCCATCACACTTCATAAAAACATCAACCATAAGAGTTCAGTGTGCAATAAGATCTCTTTTGAAGCACACTTGACTCTTGCTCATATGGGATGTGATAAAGACTCAACTGAAGCAAAAATGAAGCATAGATGGCCCTCAAGACTCTTTCCTCAAGACTTGTTGCAAGGAAAAAGCATTGAAGATTCATACTCTAAAAAAATTTCAAGACTAGTTTGTGAGGCACGGCCAGAAGGTTATTTGCCGTGGGTCAGCTGAATGTCAGGCTGGTTGACGAGACATCTTGATTTTCATGTATTTTTTTATTGAACCGTTGGATTTTCCTCAAGTAAAATGCAATGAAAAGTCAGCTAGATCCTCTTGAATATCTCCAAATTTGAGATGGATCGGACGGTGAGAAGGTCTTCAATTGAAATTGAATTTCTGACGGTTTAACTCTAATATGAAAATATGATTTTTCTCTATTACAAATATAGGAAAATCATTAAAAAAATACTTAAACTGATTAAAACCATTCAAAAAGCAGAAGAATTTTTTAATGAAAATGGATAAAAATATATAGTGTTATCAGATTGTCATAAAAAATCCCAGATAATTTTGAAAAAAAAAATATCTAAAGAAGATGACAAACTTTATAAATTACATATGTTACATGCATTCACAAAAATTATCTGGCTCAGTTGGTGATGTGGCAGTTGACTCATCTCCATTAATCATTTAACAGAATTGACTAACAGAAATCAGGTCAATATATGTTTTGGCCAAAAAATTGTTCATATTTTGATATTCAAAATTTTAATAATTCGAGTATTAAATTAGTATATCAAAATTGTTTAGATACAAATCAATACCAATTGTCAGGTCAGAATTAGCTTTTTAAAAGTTGTAAAACGGTTTATCCTTACCTCAATTGGCACATATGGTACTGATTAGTATCCACACTTTTAAGCTGTGCTAAAACATATTCCAACTATTTAAAATTTTGAATTTTCTTACCTAAACCCTTTTTTTTTGGATTCATGCATTGACTCGCGGAGGTCGCTAGTCAAATACATAAATCATTAATTGAGATGAGTCAGCTGCCACAATGGAGTCCTTGTTGGAACATTTTAATTAAATGATGTCGTTATGTGTCAAAAAAAAAGTCAGGCTAGACACAAACCATGCACAAGACCAAAGAGACAAGCCGAGAAATCCCTAGACCATATGTTTGTAAGTTTTTTTTTTTAACTAAGATTTTCCAATACGACGTCGTTTCGGTTTTTTTTTCACTCTCGGCTCTACTCAAAACGGCATCACATAAAAACAATAGCTAACGGGAACTCCACTGCGGCATGTGACTTATCTCCTTTAACGGAGTTATGGGTTTGATTAACGGTCTCCAAGTCAATGTTTGAATCCACCAAAAAAAATTAGGTTTGGGTATGCAAAATCAAATTTTGAATAGTTTGGATATGTTTTAGCACGGCTTAAAAGTGCATGTACTAATCAGTACCATTTGTGTCAGTTAAGGTAGGAATAAACCGATTTCCCGAGTGTTTTCCTTGGGCACATGGGTTTGAGCAACCTTAGTGGTATATATATATTTAAACAGATTATTCAAGACGACGTTTTGAATATATGTTCCAACGAGGGTTTCCATGTGGCAATTGATGTGTCTGCTGCGTGAGGGTTGTCAAGTTTTACCCTAAATGAAATCAATAGCCGCAAGTGCACAGCTGATCGATTGTAGTACTTAGGGATCGAATCCACAGGGAAGGAGGATCTTTCCTGCAAAAGCCTTCGAAAGAAATATAAAGTAAGGAAGTCTAGAACCAGACGATTTTAGTGAGGGTTTTGGTGATATCTTTAAAACGTAAAAAACTAATCTTAACGAGAAAATACGGGAATTGAAATGACCTAATAACTAAACTTAACGAAAACGACTAAAAACGAGAAAAACGGCTTAACCAAATTGCTTAAATGAAAATCGATTAAGAGAATGAAAATACTAGACTAAAACTTGAATGAAAATCGGTGTAAATCTATAGGAAGGAAGGCGCTGGGTTTCTGGGAAGTTTTTTCAGGGGTATGAACGATTCAAAACATTGCTAGAGAGTAAATTTGATAAGATCTTAGCTTTTCGAACTAAAGTTACAGACGTATGAATACGCCACTGTCGTGATCATAGACAACTATCTCTTTCAACCCTGACCAGTAGGTTTCCACTCTGGCCTGGAAGAGAAGAGATGCATTATGTGTAAGACTCGTCAGCATTCACAAATCGCTCATAGATAGGTTTCCACTCCTATGTTTGTTTTGCTCTCCCAAACTAGATCTGACACCGGATGAACACTTTCGTGTCACCAAGCATCTGGATCAGATTGTAGTTCATGACGCTACTCTCATGCAGTAAAAATAAATTCAGAAGAAAAATTTCTAAGATTCGACTTCAATAGCTCATGGAATCCTCATCAAACATGTGTATCCCCATCGAAAATCCCTTAGACCCAACAATAAAACTACTCAAACATGATGAACGAAATCAAAAACATAGTACTAAAAGTAGAGCAAAAGTCAAAATTGAAAAAGAAAGAACAAGGGTTCAAGAGACAAGTCTCTCTCTCCCTAAAACCTAAAAAAAAAGCTTAAAGTAAAATTTCTTGTAAAGTATTTCGTCTCTCTTCTTCTTCTTTTAAAAACGACCTAAATGATATGTATTTATAGTCTCCAATGCTATCTGGTCATTAGGGTTCCGAATTGAGGCTGAGAAAATGATATGGACTTTAGAAATGGGCCTCCGAACTCGGAGTTGGCTGGCTGCGGTCGGGATGTGCGTGACCGTGGGCAATGGATGGCTGGCCGCGGTCGGGATTTGCGTGACCGCGGGGAATGGGCTATTGGCCGCGGGTGGAAACGCTTGCCGGCTGGTTTACGGGACATCTTGCTCTTCGCGTATCTTTTGATTAAACAGTTGGATTGCCAAGCTGTAAAGTATGCTGGAAATCTGATACTTCCATCTTTGAGATCTCCAAATTTGAGCTGGATCAGACGGTGACAAGGCCTTCAATCGGGGGTGAACTTCTGACGGTTTGACTCTGAGGAAAATCTGGTATTCTATCAATTTTGTTAAACTTTTCCCTAAGTTTCCTGAAAAGAGTTTTGAAACTACAAATATTAGAAAAACGTAATAAAAGTACTTGAAAGCAATTAAAAACATAGAAAAATTATTTCAAATGATCTATAAAAGTGGTCAAAATACGGTGTTATTAGCAATTGATTCATCTCCGTTAATTGTTTAATAAAACTGACTAACAAAAATTGGGTTAATGCACGTTTTGCCACAAAAATATTGTTCGTATTTGGATATTCAAATTTTTGATAGTTCAGATATGGATTAGCACACAAAAATTGTTCATTAATGAATCGGTGGTATCCATTGACAATGTTGCGGTACGAATTAGCCTTTTCTCATACTTATAGCAGTACAATTTTTACTTCATTAGTTCTATAAATATGAAGGGATTATAAGGAACTTGGCTTTTATTTACATTGTACAAGATGACGTTGCAAAAAAGCTAAACAAACATATTAAGATTGTGATTGTGTTGAACATTCACATTAAAACATGTTGGAATTATGAATAGTTAAATCATGACAAAATGATCTCCCCAGTGGTATTCAGTCAATCAGTGATTACAAGAAAAATCATAAGAAAAAATGAATAACTAAAATTAAGTGTCAATCTAAGAAAAAAAAATTATTTAAGGTCTTACAGCGACATGAGACTCTCGATATGATTTGGTACAACACTTGAGTCATTCAAAAGATCGTATCGAACTTCACCAAGTTGCTTAAACTCGTCATACGCAATTCCTGGAAACTTCACTTCTCTTAAACCGTTTCTCTTCGGATCAAAATACACAATATGAAACCATTCATACAAACGCCAATTACTAGAACTAAGTTCCGTAGGAGATCTATAAGTAGCACTTGGTGTATAAATGTAGATAAACTCACCAACATCAGTGACACCCTTCAGCGTCCATTCCTTCATCGTCCATCTTGTGTAAGGAAGATTAGGTGAATGAATATGTTTATATACCCATTGGTGATTCTCTGCATCTTCCAAAATCCATAATTCAACACCATCAATAGAACTTATTATCAAAGCTAATCTTCCTTCATATGATACAAAAAGAGAACCGCGGCAGTATTTGTCCATCGGAAATTTAATCAAACTGAACTTTTCAGATCTGAGATCAAAGCTCATTATGGCACACTTCTTTTCAAAATAACAATCATAGTACATGACTCCATTAATGCATTTCCCACAATCTTTTATAATGCAAGAATGCCTAGGGAAACCTTCCGATAGTATTTTCCATGATTCTTGACCTCCCAATGTAAGAATCCCAATCTTGTTGCCTGTAAGAATGCACAGTGCTTTGTATTTACAATCAATAGGATCATATCCCAAAAATCCTGTTTGGTATCTGCCTTGGCTGCCTTGAGGTTTAGGTAAAGTGAAGAAGCGTTTCATGGTAGGGTTCCAGATTGTGAGCTCTGTATAAGTTTCCAAGTAAACCAAGCCGTGGACGGAATCGTAACGACGAAAGCAACCATTATTGGGGATTGTATATTGATAATTCTCCGCTTGATCAGGATAACAAGTAATCTTGTGTAGCGGAGACGAGAACACGAACAGCTTGTCGCGTTTACAGAAGGCTAGCAGAACACAAGGCCGTGATGATGCCGAGCACCGGCTCGGGAACGAGTTGATGAACGTGGAGTGGTGGTGATGGAAGAGCATAGCTTAGAGACGGAGCGATATCTCCCAATCGATTTTGCAGGCAGTTTTACGAGTATCTCAACGATTAGATCGAGAGGAATATGGTCTCTGGATTGAGATCCATCATTATCATCATGTGATTGAGATCTATCATTATCATCATGTGAAGATTGTGTTGATCTCTGGAGTTTTCTCATCTTTCTTTGCTCCATAATTTTTTTTTTTCAAACCCTAGTTTGTCATTCAGTCTGCTAGAAAGTTTTTTTTTTATATATTTGTATAATTATAAAGTTTTTACCCGTAAAAAATATAGTTTTACCCGTAAAAAATATAGTTTTACCGATTACCCGAATGGAAATCGGGTCCCACTAGAGAATACATATCTTTTAATTTTTTTGGAGACTTCCTAAAGATTAGGAAACCCAAAATTTGAACCTTAGAAGAACCAAACGACGAAGTCTTTAAATTGCCTCTCTACAAACGTTATCAGCGGCGGCAGTAGAAGGAGCAAGCCCACAGATGTCTGAGAAATCTCTGTAGACGAGAATGAACCTCTGCATTTAGTGCGTCTGCTACTACTTCCCTTTGTGTCTCATCGGGATTTTCGCTCGCAAGAAGCTTACTGCAGTTCTGAAATAGAAAACAAGACATAAGAATACCTTAGTCAACATAAAAAAAACCCAATCCATCACACAAGTTTATTGTTGAAAGAAACATACGTACCTCTTTAACCTCGAGTACAGTACCAAGAGTCTCTTGTACCCATAGAAAAGCAGGTACCTTTTTACAAGCCTGAAAAAACAAACAACGCTTAGCTATGCAAAAAGGGGAACGAGTATTGCACTCAGAGCTAATGGGAAAAAACAGTGAACGCACTCAAGGGCTATGTTTGGAGGTACGGTCCAGTGGCGGATATAGAAAAAATTTTAGTTTATAAACAGGAAAAACAAAAATTAGTTGGGAGCAAAATTTTTTTTTACTATTAAATTAATTTTATTTTAATTAAATTTATTTAAATATTAAAAAAAAAGTAAGGGCTCTTGACCCCGCTCCTCCACAACTACATCCGCTCCTAGTACGGTCATCCTTTCAATCTCCATATTTCGGATTGTCTTCACGATTTCTTTATAGTCCTGATACATAAGCAAATACGAGCAAATATTAGAACATATTGTTAGAACTCAATTTTAATAAGCAACTGATCTTGTAATATTAAGTATTTATGTGAATGAGAAATGAAATTTAATAAGAAAATATGTTTTGTAAATTCATTTGAGATTTGAGTTTGAGCTAATGAAATGTTTTTATTGGCTATAACTAAAATGAAAGTATAAAAGTCTCACATTGTTTAGCAAGAAAAAAAAATTTTGGTATATAAAGGAGCATGTGGGGTTCTCAAGTAGATAAATCAATATTAAACAATAGAAAAAATAAAAATTAAGAGAAAGAAAAAAAATTAATGGAATAGATTAAAATTGATAGAATTGTTTTGTTTTTAGATTAAAATTTAATTTTATAATTCAACTATATTTAAATACTCATATTTTATTATTTGAAATATTTTTAGGGGTCACTACAAGAAAAACACAATTTTACGACGATTTTACATCGAATTGCGTCGATTTGGTCTTCGCCTGAACCGTCGTTAAGTCGTCGTTAAAAATCGACGTAAGATCGTCGTACAATATACGATGCAAGTTTCGTCGTAATTTAATCGTAAATTATTTGATCATTCCGTCATAAAATCGTCGTAAAACACGAACGTATAATCGTCGTATTTGTGGTCGTACATTTTGGTCGTAACTTCGTCGTATTATTTACGACGAATATACGACGGTTTTATAAAATAATAATATTTATATTACGACGATTATACGACGTTTTATATAATTGAAAAAAAAATTTAATTCGAATTAAAATTTAAATTAAAAAAAATTAATTTATAATTTAAAATTTAATTAAATTTCAAATTAAAATTAATTTTAGTATTTACAAAAAAACCCTACAGCTCTAAATCTAAATCTACATCAATGTCGTCGATCCCGTCATTGGCCTGCTCCCCATCGTCCTCGACGTGTTCTTTGCCGGGTCTTCGGGTACAGGTTTCCGCAGCCTGATCCCCGGATCTTCGGTTAGAGGCTTCCGGCGCCTGATCTCCGGTTCTAGGAGGATCAATTCCGAGAGACCGGAACATCTCTTCGTCCGTCTGCACCGGTGGTTGCCTCCTAGAAGATGACCCGGCAAACGATCCGACAACCCCATCAGCCCGCAGCCTGTCCAACTGCGCCATGAGCACCGGGTTGTCGGCTCCCATGATTTCGAAGAGACCGTACAGCTGGTCGATCTTCGTCTCGTAGTGGGTCCGCATCTGGTCGATCTCCTGGCGGATAACCGGATCCGGGGCCCGGACGTGACCTGTCGCCGTAGCTGCTGGGGTATCACGGATGGATCCCATCCCTAATACCCGCCCCTTTTTCTTAGGGGCAACCTGAAAATATTTAAATACATTATGGTTAAAAATTGAATTTAAAGTTAAAATTACATTAATTAAATATATTAATTGAAATTAATTACCTCTTCAAAAATCTGGTACATCTCCGCCACCGTCAGCGCCGGGGTCGATTAGACCGAGCTACCTCCGGGAGACGTTGGACGCACCTGCTGAGTCAGTTGCGTCTGCCGCTCCTCGATCGCCGCACAGGCGGCGTTGTAGATCTCCTCCGCCTGAGGATCCGTGAATTCGCCGTTCTGCTTCTTATGCGTCTCGGCGAAGACCTTCGTCATCGGAGGAAGTTGTCCCCCGTTTTCTTCGACCTACAAATTCAAAAGGAAAAAATTTATAAGACATATAAGGGTTAAATATTTCAAAACTATAAAATTGATAATTTAAATGTTAATTACCATCATAAAGCGTCTTCCGACAAAAGGAATCTGGCCGGAAGTGTGCGGGACGTTCTTCCGATTTCCCGCATCGTCAGTAGCGTTTCTGAAAAATATATTCATTAGAATATATTGTAAGTAGAAAATAAGATAATGTAATTATTAATTTAATTAAATTACCTGGATCCGGAACACTTGGCCGCAGTAGTCTGGTTGTGCGGATCCAACCAGTACTGGACAAGACCCCGCCAGAATCGGCCATAAGCGCCGGCTTGGCCTTGTCGCCGTCAACCTCCCCTTCCGTTTCCAGTCGGAAACAGTGTTGTTGAGGCGGAATTTGACCTTCTCCTTGAAGGCCGTCTCCACACGTCCGTGTGCGGATGTTTCCCAATGCCAGTTTTGCTATAGGAAAAAACAAAAAGTTAGTAATTATTGTAAAAAGTAAAAATAATATTTAATACTAATCAAAATTGTAAAATACTTACCGCAAAACACTTGAACCAAGTGTCAAGTGTGGCCTGATCCAGCTTCTTCCAGCTGGTATGGGGTTGTACGAAAAACCCCTTGATGATATCCGCAATGTTACGACCGACTGCATTGTCGGTCGTAAACCTAGTCAAATGCAAAGAAAAAGTAAATTAATTTCAAATAATTATAAATATTAATTATTTTAAAAGTATTTTAAAAAAAAAATTCGTACCAAAATATTCCCGGGGCTCGATCCGGGTCGAGTTTGTTCATACTCTCACGACCCGGTTGGCGTAGAAGATCTTGTACCGTAAACTGGGCATACGGTACAGGCTGTATCGGAACAGCAGGATCGGCCGGTGCGGGAGCCGCTGGTTCGGCTGGTGGTGGTGGAGGTGGTGCCGGCTGCGGTACAACGACCGGTTGGGAAACCATCTGTTGTGTTCCCGAGGACTCCGGGATGACTGACCCGGTCGCTGAGGTAAAAGGGGCCGTACCGTCTGAATCTACCAGCTGTCGGTAGTGAAACCTCTTAGCCCGAGGAGCCATATCAACGTAATCTACAAAATTTAAAAATATTTGTTACTAATTTATCATATATTATTTATAAAATCTGGGCCTATCTAAATTTCGAACCTAAATATAAATTCCGAACCTAAATCTAAATTCTGAACCTAAATCTAAAAAAATCTGTAATGAAATTAATTTAAAAAAAAACTTACAAGTATTTGGCTGGAAGAGTAGGGAGTGAGGGAGAGGTTTAGGGTTTAGAGAGAAAGCTTTTAGAGAGAGAGAGAGGAGTAGAGAGGAATGAGCGACAAAGGGGGAAAACTCGCGTCCCTTATATAGATTTTGTGATCGTCGTAAAATCGTCGTAACGTTACGACGATTTTACGACGATTCGGTTGTATAACAGTCGGTCCACTGCATGACATGACACATGTCATGACGGGAGCGTTTGACCGTTACGACGGTTGTACGACGATTTTACCCAAAACCGTCGTAAAACCGTCGTAACGTCTAAACATTTATAACTTCGTACCTCGGATCAAGAGCCTATCCGGGTGGAAACGTTACGACGGTTCAACGATGGTTTTAGAGAACTTAGTCGTAAAACCGTCGTAAAGTTACGATTATATTACGACGGTTTTACGATGTTTTTTTAAAAAGTTATTAAACCCTAAATCTTAAAAATGGGATATTGCTTAAAGAACAATGCAAAGGTTATTGTATCCTAACATATAACAAAAGGTTTACAACTTTGCATGTATGATGGATTTATGACATGAGATAGTAAATATTGAAATTCCGTAATCTAATATATAACCTTTCACTTAACATTTACGAAAACATGCATGAACTTGTAAATATGTATGTTTTTTTTCAAATTTTTGATTTTGATCAGGTTGATAGCATTTCATATAAAAGAAGATAACCAATCAAAAACATTTGTGAAATACCTTACAACCAATAAGATATAAAAGATTGAAATTCTTGGATTTCAACATTACGACGATTTTACGACGAAATAGAGTACTCGTCATAAAATCGTTGTAATATTACGACGATATTACGACTGTTCGTCGTAAAGACGTCGTAATGTTGAAACCCTATTCATTTAGGGCTTATAACCTAGAATTAGGGTTTAGGGTTTAGTAAAATCGTCGTAAAACGGTCGTAAAATCGAATTTTTTCAATTTTAAAATTTTTAACAATCAAAGTTACAATGACATAATAACAAACATTAAGTATTCACTACATACAATGCATGAAACTGATGGTCGTGTCAACTGCGTGAGGGAACAAGTTTTACTCTTAACAAAACAAATGAAAGCCGCAAGTGCACAGCTGATCAGTTGCAGTA